GGGGGTGGGGTATGGGGTACGTAGTACTCGTGGCACGGAGGGCCGATTTTTTTTTCGTGAGGCCAGTAAGGCCTCCGAAATCGAAAAAGAAAATGGACTGGACTGCGCCATCAGATCTTCGAGATCTACGGCCCAGATCGGGCCAAGTTCAAAATCGACCCCCCGTCCAGATACGTCCCCCTCCCCCACGCCATTCCTCCGCCTCTCCTACACCTCCTCCTTCCTCCTTCTCCATGTCTCCATCATCTCTCTCCTCCTCTTCCCCTCCTCCTTTCCCTTTTCTCCTCCTCGCCCTCCTCTTCTCCTCTTCTTCCTCCTCCTCCTCCTCCTCCTCCTCCTCCTCTTCCACCACATGTTTCTTCTCCCCCTCCCATTCTTCTTCCTCCTCCTCCTCCTCCGAAGAGCTGCCACGTGGCACACGCTTCTTTTTTTTGATCCGCCATAACTTCCTCCTCCGCATCATCTTCTTCTTCTTCTCCTTCTTCTTCTTCTTCTTCTTCTTCTTCCTCCTCTTCTTCTCCTCCTCGGTCCTTATCCTCCTCTTCCACCACATCTTCGTCTACTCCTCCGGCTCTTCTTCTTTTCCCTCCTCCTCCTCCTCTTACACATCTTTTTTTTACTACGCAGGCTCTTCCTCCTCCTCCTCCTCCTCTACACAGGTGCCACGTTGCACACACCTTTCTTTTTTTTAAGCCCGCCACAACTTCGTCCGCCTCCTCCTCCTCCTCCTCTTCTTCTTTTTCCTCTTCTTCTTTTTCCTCCTCCTCTCCAACTCCTCCTCCTCATCCTCTAAGAATCCTCTTCTTCTTTCCTCTTCTTCTTTTTCCTCCTCCTCTCCAGCTCCTCCTCCTCATCCTCTAAGAGTCTTCTTCTTCGCCGTCCTCCTTGTCCACCTCAACCTCCTCCTCATCCTCCTCTGAGAATGTGCCACGTGGCACTTGCTGTTTTGTTTACTTAGACCCACCGTAACTCCCTTCTCCTTCTCCTCCTCCTCCTCCTCCTCCTCATCATCATCATCATCTTTTTCTTCCTCCTCCTCCCATTCACACCGCTCCCCCATCGCCGCCGCTGCCCCCAACGCCACCGCCGCTGCCCCCCACGCCGCCGCCGCCCCCGACGCCACCACCGCTGCCCCCAACGCCGTCGCCGATGCTGCTCCCACCCATCGGCGCCACTGCAGGTTTTTTTTTTCTCCCCAAACCAACCAATCGATCAATCAACCAATTGATCATAATTCAATCAAAAATCAATCAAAAATCAATCAAAAATCAATCAATAAAAAATCAATCAATCAAAATCAATCAATCAATCAATAAATCAATCAATGGAATCGATTGATCGATCGATTGATTGATTGATTGATGGCGGGCGGGAGTTCGAGGAGAGGAGGAGGAGGGGGGGGGGTTCGTTTTCTATGATTTTTATTTTTCCAATCAGTCGATCAATCGAATCGATCAACTAATTGATTGACTGAAAAAGTACAAATCAACTAGGAAGATTTTGACGACGATTAATTGATTGATTGAAAAAAAATACAAATCAACCGGGAAAGATTTTGACGGCCGGCCGGTCACCCGGGCGTGACGCCCGGTCAGGTCTCGTGACAGGGTGACCCGGTCATGTAAAAACGGGGTATTCCCGATTTTTGGTGGTGTCAGGTTTTGGGAGTTGGTGGGGGGGGAATGAGGCGATGTGGTGAGAAAGGGTGCGATAGACGAAGAGTGGGGCGATGATGCACGGGGGTGGGAGGAGGGAGAAACGCGGTGGAGGGAGGGGGGGAAATGGCGATGGAGGGAGGAGGCGATGGAGGGAGGAGGCGATGGAGGGAGGAGGATGGAAGGAGAGGATGGAAGGAGCAGAGGATGATGGAGGAAGGTGATGGAGGGAGGAGGCAATGGAGGGAGGACAGGGAACGGAGATGGAAGGAGGAGTTGGTGGTGGAAGGTGATGGAAGGAGGAGTTGGTGGTGGAAGGTGATGGAGGGAGGAGGCGATGGTTGAGGGAGGTGGTGATGGACGGCGGAGAGGATGGTGGAGGAGGTGAGGAGGGAGGAGGCTGGCGGTGGGAGAAAGAACGACGCGATGGAGGGAGGTAGGACGTGATAGAGGAAGAGACAGGCGATGGTGCAGGGAGGTGATGGAGGGAGGAGGGAGGCGATGGTGGATGGATCGCGGCTCTCTCTCTCTCTCTCGCTCGCTCGCTCGCTCGCTCGGCAGTTCGTCCTCCGGTCCCGTTCAGGGGATCCGAGTCTTCCTTTTTTTTTGCCGGTCGCTCGGCGGTCAAGGATATGGCGGCTTGCTGAGCGTCGCACTTACTAAGAAGAAGAAGAAGAAGAAAAGGAGAAGAAGAAAAAGGAGAAGAAGAAAGAGAAGAAGAAGAAGATAACGAGTACGGAGGTGGGGGTGCAGGGGCCGCATGAACATCGCCTGAACGGGCAGCGAGGTCGCACGACGGGGTCTCTCTCTCTCTCTCTCTCTCACACACACACACACACAATGAAGAAACAAGGAGAAGAAGAAGTCTTACCCCGTGGATGGCAGCGGGCGAGCGCAGCGGAGTGCCAGGGCAGCGGCCAGGCACACCAACGGTGAAGCAAGGGCATAGCTCGCGCGATTTGGCGTGTGGGCTTTCGAAATCGAGTGCCCGCCAACGCGAAATCGCGCGGCCATAGTGTGCTACAGCGCGCTATTTGTGGTCGTCTAATTCCAGCATCAACGGCCAGCAATCGCGCTGGCTACTTCTCGTTTTGGGGGCCGGTCGAGCCGCCGCCAATTCTTTTTTCGCCGCGCGGGGGTCCGCGGCCCTCAAGAACGTCGACTCGAGTTTTTCTTTTTTTCGGCCGCAGTTTTTACCCGGGGCCAAGTCCCACTAGCAGCGTTGGGCTACATCAACGCTTGAATCGGACGCTTTTGCGGAGATGTGCAGAAGTGGTTGTTGACTTTCCTGAAATGCACGTCTCCACAAACACGTCCAGATTCAGGCGTTGAGGTAGCTCAAAGCTGCTAGTGGGACTTAGCCCCTTTTTCTTCTTTTTTTTTCCAGTTTTCCACTACCTGTGTGACTGTGGGACCACTGCGAACCGTCTATCATCCAACAAACGGACGGTTGGATTACACATACCACCTCTTGGAAGGGGAGCTTTAGGGAAGGGACGACCAGCCGTCTATCGTTTTCTGATTGGTTGGAGTCTCATGTTGCGGTCATGTGGGCGTTGTAGTTACTATTCTCTGTCTTTTTTTTTGGGTAGAGATGTGCAGAATTGGTTGTTGAGTTTCCTGAAATGCACGTCTCCACAAAAACGTCCAGATTCAGGCGTTGAGGTAGCTCAAAGCTGCTAGTGGGACTTGGCCCCTTTTTCTTTTTTTTGTTTTAAGTTCAGTTTTCCACTACCTGTGTGACTGTGGGACCACTGCGAACCGTCTATCATCCAACAAACGGACGGTTGGATTACACATACCACCTTTTGGAAGGGGAGCTTTAGGGAAGGGACGACCAGCCGCCTATCGTTTTCTGATTGGTTGGAGTCTCATGTTGCGGTCACGTGGGCGTCGTAGTTGCTATTCTGTGTCTTTTTTTTTGGGTAGTAAACTACACGGGATTTTGCCCTTCGGTGATTGCAGGGGGCACGAAAAGGCAAGCTTCAGCATTGGGCAGTTTTAGCACCACACGTGCTAAACTTGTATAATGCAGTAATGACTGGGAGCGGAGTGAGCCTTCATATGAGTTATGGGATCATATCAATAATGTACAAGAAAGGTAACAAGGCGGACATAAGGAACTGGAGACCAATATCACTTCTCAATGTTTCCTACAAAATCCTGGCAAAGACTATGGCTGGAAGGCTCGCTGCCATCCTTCCACATGTGGTAGGAAGGGACCAAGCAGCGTTTCTAAAAGGAAGATCCATTTTCGATGATGTGATCACAGCGCTAGAGTCGCTAGATATAGTACAAAAGGATAATCTAGAACTAGCAATCTTACTGCTAGACCTAGAGAAAGCCTACGACCGAGTGAATTGGTCATATGCTGTGACTACATTGAAACGAATTGGTTTTGGGCCAAAGTTCTGCAAGACTGTAATCGGCCTCTACGGTTGTTCTAAATCATCTGTTATGATCAACGGTAGGGTATCTAAGCCTTTCTCACTGTCTCGGTCACTGAGACAAGGCTGCTCGTTAGCCCCGCTTATCTTTGTCCTACAGTTGGAGGTTCTGGTATGCAATATCATTGCCCACCCACAGATAATTGGTCTGAGAGTACAAAACAGTGAGTGCAAGGTCAAAGCCCTTGCAGATGACCTGTTTGCTGTGTCTGCTAACACAGAGAGCTCCCTTAGGGCATTAAAGAACTGCTTGACAGAGTACTCAGGTTTATCCGAAGCTGCAGTTAATTGAAACAAATCTGTTTACTTCTTATCATCCCAATACTGCCTGGTAGAGAATATGGGCATGGAAAGAACGGGAGAGGGAACGTCAGAGAGGTATCTAGGGGTACAAGTATCACTTACCAACTGCACAAATATTAAATGCGACCTCTTACAGCAGAAATTGGTAGCACGTATATCAAGATGGGGTCCAGCCCCCCATCTCTCGCTGTTTGGTAGGGCCTTGGTCCTCAATGTGGCTCTATTTTCTCTTTTGTGGTATGTCGGTAAGGTAAAGCGTTACAGCAAACAACTCCTCAAGGTCACAAGGAGAGTTTCGGCCAGGTTTGTTTGGAAACCATTCGGGGATGCAGACAAAGGTTTCATTTCAACGGTAGCATGGGACAGCATCTACTACCCCCGGAAACAGGGCGGGCTAGGACTGCTAGACCCTCTCAAACAGAACCTGGCCCTACTAGCCTTATGGGTAATCAAGGTCATCTCGGCAACGGAGAAGGATCATTGGTTGGTTATGGCGGAGCACATTCTCGCAGAAGAGTGGCATCTCCCAAGGGTTGAAGATGTATGGACATGCTGTATGCTGGAGTCATTTCTCAGCAGGCAGATCAAGTCACCGTTCTGGCAGGAAGTCCTCTACGCATGGAGGAAGATTAAGCCTAAGACCTGGACTGAACCAACTACCAAAGCGGAGGTATTGGCCCAACCGCTGTCCGATAACCCAGCGGTGTTGGACACACAAGGCAGACCATTTGCTGCTGACTCAAGAGCGGACTCGTTTGGCAAAACTTGGATCCAAAAAGGGATACTTCAGATAAGCGATCTGTGGGATGACGTTTGAGGGAACTGGTTCGCACTGTCGGAGATCAAGGAGCAGCTAGGGAGGTTGGGATGAGTGGAAAACAGACATGCAATGTTGTTGCAAGCCCTTCCTATAAACTGGCAATTACTTCTGAGCACACAAAAAATTGACGCTGCGGGTACATGGTACAAAGAAGACTCAGCTATGGAGGATGAGTCTTTCTTCAAACTCATAGCGTTCAATGTGGATGGCTCCAGGGTATTCCAAGGATGGGAAAGATCAGAAGGTCAACAGCTAGCCGTTGTGGAACTAGAAGATGAGCATACAGTCAGCCCGGTGGGCCCTATCTCACAAATAAGAGTTAAGGAATCTTGCATAGAGGAAGGGGATTGGTCCTGTACACTGTGGGCGAATGGAACGCCGATCAGAAACCTGAGGATGGATCCGGCGATGTGGAGGTGGCAGAATCCGGAAAGATGGATCTCGGACTACACACCAAGTGTAGTGGCTGCTACAGAAAGATGGGTGAGGACCACAGGTATGGACGCAGCGACAGTCGCTAGACTAATGGAAATCCTATGGGAAAACCTACAGGACATACCTTCTCAGAGAAAAGCAGAGGAATGGAAGTGGAAATCTCCTGCAGGAGGTGTAAATGGCCGTTCGAATCAACAATGCACCTCTCGCTTGCCTGTCCTTTGTCTTGAAGAGTGTGGTTCTGGTGGATGGATCATTGGAACAGGATATGTGACAACGCATTCACCTGGGATGAGAACTGGATTTTGTTTGGAGCTACGGTCCACCAATCCCAGGGGAACGGAACACAGTTTCAGCAGTAATTAGAGCAGTCATCTTTTGGGTGATCTGGGAGGAACAGAACACAGTTTTGTTCCAAAACAAATTCCTTTCGTATCAGGCCATCAAGGCCATGATCAAGCACAACATTGTGCTCGCTGTTAAAGGAGACTGGTCGAGGAAGGTATCTAGTGTCAGAAATAAAGTTAGTGGTATCAGATGGTTTCAAGGAAACTGGGCCAGAAAAGGTAGGCTAGCGTCAGTAGAAGGGGGAAAGCTACAGGTGTCGAAATGGCTGTTCGCAGCTTAGGAACGACCTGAACACTCGGTCCTTACTCCACAGTAGGAAGGCAATAGTTGGAAGGTATGAGAGATTGGAGGGAGTGTTAATAGGACCTGGTCCGATATAGGCCCACAGTCCCACTGATAGGGACTGCTATTGATTTGAACGCTCGATCATTATTCCACAGTAGGAAGGTGGGAGCGGTTTCGTTCCTTGGGCCCGGTTAGGCCCACACCCCCGATAATCGAGACTTGTTCTGATCTGTAGAATATCAGTTGTAGCCTCTGGGAGGCACTCCCTGAACCGGTATAGGTTCTTATTTCGAAAGAGGCGACTATACTATAGGAAGTAGAATGTAAAATTAGAGATAGTGGTGAGTGCAGTAGTGTTAGTTACGGACCAGGTAGAGGTAGGCAACCAGGGGTTTAGGATTTTATTAGATATATAGGAAGGTAGGAATTTCCAGTAGGTACTAGCAGAATAGTTGTAGTCTTAGGAAATGCCCAGCCAAAGAGCTGTTGGGTCTGTAGAAAAGACCTGCAGGCTTTCAGCCTGTAAGCTAAGCTGGATGATGCTTCCAGATATCTGTCGTGAACTGGGACGTATTGTGGAGGACCCCGGCCTCCGAATGAGTATTGAGTAATTTGAAGTTGAATTTTGAGGAAAAAAAAAAGAAAAAAAGGCAAGCTTCAGATTTGTTTTGGGGGCTTGCTTTGAGGGTTGAGGAGGGGCTTCACTGCAGTACGAAGAGCATGCAGAAAAGGGGGAAAAAATGGAGGTGCTTCTGCACATGTTTTAGTAGGTTTTGGACATTTCACGATCATCGTGAATGATGGGTGCAGCCCAGTCAGAACCCAGGGGTTGTCTCCACTACACAACACTACTGTGTACTACCGCGCACGACGCGGGAGCACAACCAGTCGGGAGTGAGGATAAGGGCAGGGGACGAGGCCACTGTCTAATAGAAACCAAAAAGCACGACTGCATCTTCCACGGAAAGTGGTAAGATGCATCCGTTGCCATTCATAGTAACAAAACAAAACCCCTCCCTCCCCAAAAAAACCGCCCACCTCAAAACCGAAAAGATAGCCAACCATAAAAAGGAACGGCCGGGCGACTCCCGCCACCACCAAGAACGACCTATGCCACCTACTATTGGTCGCCCACGCTCCAACCTCTGCGCCAACCGTTTGGCCTACCGGTCTGTGCCCTGCCCCCGAGTGCGCACCTTGTCGACGCCCACTAAACCCCGTTAGAGGTCGTTGACATTTCCTCAAACAGAAAGCCCGCTACATGACCAAAAGTGCAACCGTGTGACGCTCAACCTCACACCCTATGCTGCTTTCCGGTCGGAGTGTTTTGGTTG